AGTCAAGGAGAGAAGCCTCAGGGAAACTTGGACCTTGAACTTCCAGCCTTCAGATATGCAAAAAAATTAATTTCTGTTATTTAAGCCAAAGACAACTCAAAATTATCTAACCAATAATTTAGCCACTGTCATGGATAGTTTGAACTTAAGGTGAACCATACAATGGAACTTTCTGACTGTTAAAAGGAATGAAATATGTGTGCAAATACTAATGTGGAAATGTTTACAAGTTTAACATTTAAAATGTGTGGTTACTGTGTGTACGCTTTCGTTAATGAGGAAAATGATTTTTTACAGACACATAGCCTCTGTGTGTGTGTGTGTGTGTGTGTGTGTGTGTGTGTGTAAATGCATAGAAAATGTCTTGAAATGTTTTGAAGGATTTCGGAACTTGATAACCATGGTCACCTCTGATAAGTGATTCCAGAGTGTTTGGGAATGGAGAGTGTACTTGCCCTTTTCATTTTATACTTAAACTTACGTTATTTGTATCATATAGAACACAGAAAAATATATGTTTCTGGGAAGAAGTGGTCGCATACAATTTGGGCCATTGGAGCATCATAATTAGACTTCCTAGAATTTTCAGTGGTTTGTGACGTTGGGGAGAAATTAATCATATTGCTAGTTAAAATGGCCAAAAATTGCCAGTAGCTGATACAATACGACTAAGCAGCAGCACGCTGAAAGCTGTAGCATAGGGTCAGTCTATGCCACGGGAAGTCCCCTGTCCCGGCCCTCCATGGGCTGCGCTGTCCGTTCCTCAGTCAGGTCTTCTTACTACTGAGCTGTCTACCTCTTGAAGACCTCTTTCCCCCACTCTCGATATTCACGCCCTGCCTTCTGTTAGACCGCGGGCATCATTCCTCCTGCACTGGGCCCTCACAGAACGCCCTGCACCCTGCCGCCCCCGATACCGTTTCTGATCCATTCTTGATACTGCAGTTAGTGTTCATTCTAGAGAGGAGAGCAGACATGACAATAACTGCATCAGATCAATTGATGTAGATGCCAAAATTGGTTGCGAAGTATGTACGAGTGAGCAGAAAGGAAGAAGCCATTACCTCTAATCAAGCTCATGGAGAAGAAGCTACAAAGAAGGTGACACAGAGACTTAGCTTTGACAAAATCCACATGGCCTTTGTGGGCAGAGAGGGCATTACACCATAGGGCTGAGGTGTCATCACAGCGATGCGGGAGTGAAAGGCTTGGTTTGGGAAGACAGAGTGCTCCTGGCGACTGAAGCTCGCTAACAGGACTCGGCGAGTGCTGGCTCTGAAGGGGCCTTGGGCCAGGGTTGGAGGGCACACTAAGGAGTCTGGAGGGCGGTCTACTGTCTGGAGAAAGGTTCTTAAGAAGTGCCACGTGGGAAACACTGAGGTGACCTCCTCACTCTGTTCCCTACTCCACCCTTATTTTTCTTTCTAACCAAATCCCAACTCTGTCCAGATAATCTACCTCATCCTGCAGGATTCAGGGGGAATGAATACATTTCTGGTTTTGAGGCTGGATAGGAATTGGTTTCAGCCACGCGTGCTAATACATGCCCTTTGCAGTGCAATAACTGCTCTTTCTGGGTGATAATAAATGTACATAAACGATATGGGACTTAACTGCCAGGCATATGCGAGAGGCAAAAATCAGAATTGTTATTGTAAATCAGTCCATTTTTTTTGTCAAATAGTAGGAAATCCCTTCAGGCAGTCTCACTCAGCCACATGCAGGGGTTACTTCACATATACTTTCCAGTTATGGGCTAACATGGAGAATCGCGGACCTCCTTCTTCACTTATTTTTAGCTATGACTTAAGCCTTTGTGCCCCATATGTTCTTTCCCCGAAGGCCCTCAAGGATATGGAAAGGATTAGCCATGCTCTAATTTAGGAACAGAGATGGATGAATCCACTTGTGTGCATTTACTGGCATAAGTCACTAGGGAGGTTGACTAAGTCACTTTTTACGATGACCCAGAGCAGGTGCCTACAGCTGTTTTCAGAATAAGTACTTGGTGGCCACGAGAATGGTGCGCTCAGATCTCCAACTGCAGGGAGTGGGTTAGTAATTGAGAGACGGCCCTGGCGGGTGGCTCTGGAATCCTGGGTGCCGCCGCCAAGCTGCCCGGGGGCCTCTCCTGGCCAGCGAGTAAGTGTGGCAGAAGCACTAAGATAGGCCCATGCCTGGGAGACATGGGACTCTTCTGATGCGCCACTGAGGCTCCAGGACTCCCTGTTGGCCTTGACCAAAGTCCCAGAGGCCTGCACTGCAGTGCGAGCCTTTCCTTCCTTTGCTCACTCCCTCCCAAGGGCTGAACCCATGTCACAGTCAGACGGCTCTCCTGGCACATTTGATCTCTTCTTGGCTTCTGCCCCTTGAAGGGCCAAGCTAACACAAGTACTTTATATCTCCCAACATTAAAATGCTCAGGTATGTGTTTATTAAAATTGTGTTATAATAGGAATAAAGAGCAAAGTCATTAACCTGAGAATATTTATGAAAAACTCATTCACTACATTTTTCACTCTCTGATATGTGTATGATAACCTTTATTCAGATTATAGCATGGTTCCTCTCTAAGGGCAAGTTGCTGCCTGCCTAGTTGTATAAAGCAATGAAGCTGGTTTGCTGCTTCTCTTGACAGGTGGCAGGCCCCACTTCAGAGTTATAAAAACTTTTATATTCTCCTTCAGCATATTTGTGAAATTAACCTGGGCCTGTGTTTTCTTTTTGGGTCATAAGTATGTGGAACATACATGCTAGGAGGCAATAATATTCCAGTCAGAGAGGATGCCTGGGAACCCATCACTGCCACTGCAGAGAGGCCATGTGGAAACTCTCTTCCTCCAGTAAGGAATGAGGGCAGGGTCTTCTCATATTTCTAAACTCCTCCAATCCCCAGGTTAAACATAAAGTTTGGTTTTGTAACGCAGACTTCAGTTGTCTGGAAGCCAGTGAAGCTGACTTAGCCCAAAGCCGAGGGTGAACGTTTTCCCTCTCAGACCCATTGAACTCAGACCCATTGGGTAGGCACATAACAGATCCAATTTCCTGTAACTGCACCCATCCCAGTGAGGTTTATATGTCTTCACACATAATCCTGTAAGGGCTGCAGATATCGAGATGCCAGAGGTGCTCACGTATGGGGATTGGGAGTCATGGAAGGTCAATGTTTCTATGACAAATTCCTACAGAGAAAGAATGTGTCTAAGTTCCTAGTCTTATGGCACGAGCAACACTTTTTTTTTTTTTTTCCTGCAAATGTAAATGGTTCTTTCCAAATTGATTGATTCCGAAGGCCCTGCGACATTAAGGTCCTCCTTCTCAAGGCTTTTTGTTTTCATCAAGAATTGTGATCTAAAGTGTCTTAATCTTAGTGGATCAAATGAACACCATTCAGCTTGTGGGGGAGGAAGGGTAGATATGAAATGAGAATAAGAATAACTGAGTCTAAGTTTTCCACTACTCTCTGCATCAAAATATAAGACCAAAACTTTCATTGCTGTGACAATTTAATTGTTTCCAGAACGATGTTCTCTATATGAATTTGGTTCTAAATTCCACTTGTTACTGGATCCATCGGGCCATTGACATGGGGCCCAGAACTCAGTATATAAAAGTATGGAGTCATGTGTCCATTTAATACCTTTGCAGAGGCCATAACTACCAATGGGATGAGTCGCCTCTTCTTAATCACAGAGAAATTTCAGAGGGGAGACGTTTCAGAATTCACTGTGTGCCTTGCTTGGCTTTGAAGTTTGAGGACAGACATTTAAAGTTGTGAGTTTCTTTTAGATCAATGGCTCCTATCATAATGGTAAGGTCAGAAATCTGTGATCAAAACTTACATCTAGGAAAGTAGCTATTGACTGTTACAGGGTTGAAACGCATGTCTGTCTTGCTGCTTTCAATAAGTTTACCTCTTTTTGCACTGGATTATCTGCATGCTTTGTTCCATCGTTTCTTTCAAGAATCTGCTCAAATGTCACATTATCGGTGAGGCTTTCCATGGACCTCACTATATACAACAGGAAACATACCCATCGTGCAGCCCCCTACCCTTCCCTTCCTTAGTTTTATATTCCTTCGCAGGACTTATCCTACCCGATTTATGTTTATTTGTTCACTTTTATGTGCAAACTGGAACATCAGCACAGAGGGTGGGAGCTTTACTATGTTTATCTCATCTGTCCAGACCCTGTAACAGGAACTAGCATTGTTGTCAGTGCTCAATAAATGTTCATTGAATGAATTTTTAGGTGACCACATAGGTAGCAAGAACAAAAGGAGAAACCCTATGTAAGAAAGAAAGAGTGAGAGAGAGATACTCATTAGAGAGCTGTAGTTGGCTTTGGGAGTCAGATATCAGCAGACAGCAAACTAATGGGGAAGAAAGAGCCACCAAGGAATAGGACACAAGGAACTTGAAGGCCTGAATATTTCCACTAGATAGTTGACTCTCCCAAATAAAGGGGAAAAAATAGCTGAAAACAGATTATGATGTGCAGGCAAAGTGGCAAAGAACATGCCAAGGAGACTGGCAGATGGACACAAACCTTCTGACACCACCTGGTCTCATGTTAAGACAAAAACTTAATAAAATTGCCCAATGAACTAGGGGGCAGGAATGCCTACAGCTCCATATGGTCTTGAAATGAGATCAGAATAGGGACAAATATTGTGTACATTCATTCACTCAACTAACGTCGGAAACCTGCTAGGCAGTGAGCTTCTTCACCAGACACATGGTGAGATCAGGGGCAGGCCTTGTTTCCCGTGGAACACCTGCAGAGACAAGGGGAGGTGCACTTGAGTAGCTGCAGGACGTACATGTGGTTAGAACTGGAGTGTAACGGGGAGATGCAACGAGCCTGGGCGCACCAGGGGAATCCAGACACTTAAGGACCTTAAGAGCCATTTCACAGGTTTTGGTTGGACAGTGTTTTAATCGATATGAAGCCACACTGAAGGATTTTTATTTGAGTTTATTAAAAATTTTTCAAGGTAATGCATGCACAAGGTAAAAAATTAAATAGTACAGAGGACCTGAAATGAAAAGCACAGTTCCCTACCCCACCCTTTTTAGCCCTAGTCCCATTCACCAGAGGCAATGCATTTAACAATTTCTATTTTTAGATATTCTGTTAACTAACTTCCTAACATTAAATATGTTTGAACAATAATTTCTTGGCATATTAACTTTAGACAATCTTTAATAATACACCATTACAAAAGATAAGGATTTGACTTACACTATCTCCACCTTTCCTTTGCCTATCCTTCCTGAAAGTTTTGATAGGTATCATTTTTATTTATTGGTTTAATTTTTAGCTTTAAACAGCATACCAATCCTCCAGTTTTTATTCCATGAACTGTAGACTTCCTTTCTTCATCCCCACTTTCAATATATAAGTAGCCCTACTCTTCCTTCCACCTCTCTTCCTACAGCAAATTCTCAACCTCTTCTGCTCAGTTTTTCCGTAATTTGTCAGGATTAACTACTTTCATTTCTGAATAAAAAATTAAGCCTTCCATGTTTTATCTATAGGCTGATCAGAACACTAAGTGCCAGGAAATAGCATCTACATTATTTTGGCTTTGTAAATACTGTTTAGTGAGAGCCAAGTAAAAACTAGAAGATTTTCTTCCACGTACATTCAATGTCATGTCTGTGGCACTTGAAAGGAAATATACCTACCGCCAATGTCAGATTGAGTCTCTTCTTACATTCCATGAGTATTTTTGTTGTCTTTTCATAAATGGACTTTAAATTCTTGACATATTTTTGTTTTGTTTTCTTCTTTGTTGACTAAATAGTGTACGTTGTCCATATTCTCAAACATTCCATCTTCTCAAGGATACTATCTATGGCATAAAACGTGTACTCCTCCCAGCGTGCCTGAGATTATGTACTCATGGCTGAACTGGGTTTGTCTGCTGGACAATTGTCACTCTAGAGTGAGATATCCTGTTGGATAAGTGTCACTCTGGAGTGGTACATCCTGGGTGAGGCCCATCGTTTTCTGGATTCCATTTCTTCTTCTTTTCTGGTTCTTATCATTTTGCTGGAGAATTTCCTCAAGGTACTTCCTCAGTAAGGGTGCAAAGAAGCTAAACTTTCTGAAAAATTGCATGTCAGAAAATATCTTTGTTTTCACTTGATTGGATAGTTTGGCTTGCTATGGAATTCTGGGTACAATGTTTTTTATAAGATATGTGAAGACATTGCTCCATTGGCTTCTGGCTTTCAGTGTTGCTAATGAAAAATCTGCTGCCAGTCTATTTCTCATCCCTTTTTAGCTAATTACAATGGCCTAATTTTATTTTCTCTCTGGGCACTTTCAGTATCTTCCCTTTATCCTTAATTCCAAAATTTCACAAGATTGTGTCTTGATGTAGGTTTTACTGGGGTCCCCAGGATCTGGAGACTTAGTTCTTTCTGATCTTCAATCATTTTTTCCCTTCACCTATATTTTCCTGTTTTCTCTTCCAGAAATTCCTAATGGTCAGCTATTGATTGTCTAGGTCTCTTTCCTTTCTTCATATTGCCTGAACTTTCTTTTTCCTCTATATCTATGGAGATACTCTCAACTTTTTTCCTAGCCTACCTACGGAGTATTTTTTACAATCTTACTTCGCTTTCAAAGGGCTCTCCTCATTGTCAGAGTTTTTCTCTTCTTTGTAGCATCCTGTTTTCATTTTACAAATATACCTCAGCTCTCTCTGAAGTTATAGCTAGATTTTAAAGTTACTTTTTCCATTTTAACTTTATTTCCCCCAGAATTTGTTGTAGTTTTCAAATCTCCTAATTCTATTTGGTAATTTTTTCTTACATGCTCCTCCCCAGGTCCTCCCTCCCACCCTCCAACCCCCAGGGTTCAATGTCTGGGAATTCCTAGTTGGCCATTTGCATTTCAGCACCAGTACAACAGTTGACTTTTATAGGAGTTGGTGTACGTTTCCTCTGCCATTGTATGGTTTGGTCTGTTTTTCCACTCAGTCTCTTCTGTGACTGAAAACACTTGGTTACTTGAGTAGGGGGCCTCAACTGTCAGAGAATTAGCTGATAGGCTAAGGGGTCGCTTATTTCCACAAAAAGAGAAATATCATTCTGGAGCACCAACTCCTACCTCTCCCCAGGCAGTTTATTCAGTTCCTTTATATAAACAACAACAACAACAATAACAACAACAGCAACAACAGATTTTTCACTGGTACCAATAATTGACTGCCTGTATTCTATGCACAAGGGATGGGATAGAGTGGGATGGGGTTCAATTTTACAACTGGTATAATTCTTTAGCAGATAGATTTTTCAGATGCCCGTCTCTCTGGGTTATGTTGTTCAGATCAGCTTATACTCTGTCTGAAAGGTACCTTCACTCTTTCATTCTTTTTCATGCTTCATCCACTTTCTCTCTTCTGGAAATGTGCTGAGGTCTCCTTCACTCATAACCAAATGCCTTCAGTTTTCTTTACTGAGATGTTTCTTTTGCATTTCTTGACTTCCATTTCAGTGGGGCCTGGAGGGGGGGGGAGGTAAACTTATATGGTCAGTTCATCATCTTAAGTTCAAAGTACCACTAGAAGCTTTACATTTTTAAAACATCCCCAGGGCTATACTGCTGCAAATGGATTAAAGGGGAAAGAATAGATATAAATATTATTCCAAATGACTGAGGATCTAATTTCCTTTGAGAATATGCAATGTCTGGAACTTTGGGTTGGGGGGATTGTCAGGCACTTTACCAAAATAACCCAGTATTCAGAATCTAGTAAGCTAGTTAAAATGCTTTCATGGTGCCCTAAAGGGAATGACTGGAACCTGAATGACCTAAAACCTAAAAGGACTTGAATGACATTAAAGGGATCATCCCAGCTCTGTCTGCTGGGAGGCGCCTCAGGAGCCTACCTCAAATTCTTCTTTTGAACTGGAATTTAGAATAAACAAAGAGACTTTTTGTTCTGATAAAATTAGACGAGGGGTAAGTACAAGCAGCCAAAGTGCTGGCAAGCAGGAACATAAAGGCCCTTCTATTTGCTGGTTGGTTTCTTCATTTACTCATTCATTTGGTTATCCTGAGAAATGTAGTTACTAACAGCCATATCGTAATCAGAGTGCCCAGGTTCAAATCCTAGCTCTATCCCTTGTTAGCAATGTAGCCTTAGGTACTTCACTTACCCTCCATAAAATTCAGTCGGTTCATTCCTTAAAAGGGAGCCGTGAGTTTCCATCTCGTAAGATTATTGTGAAGATTAAATGAAACAGACTACAAAAAGGAAGCTGTCCAATACTGGGCGTGTACCTAACGCCTCACTAGTTGACAGCAATTATTTTAAAAGTTGAATGAATATTCAACACCTATGTTTAAAGCACCTAGCTGAATGATATTCATGAAATAAGAGAAAATAATGCTGACAGGACAAAAAAATTCAAAGAAAAACATTATCTCAGTTAAATCTTACTGTCTATGCATTCACCCAATTTCCAATAATGGTGTATTAAAACAACCAAATAAAAAGAAGTGAACTTAAAGAAAACTGGCTGGGTGTACACTACATGAATCCTGGACCCCCACCCTAGTTGAAACTACAAAGAAATGGGAACCTCTGGAAATGATTAGAAAATTTAAGAAAATCTTTGAATATGTTGTAATTAAATGAAATTTGAGTCACCTATATCTAGTTCTTATTCCAAAGTAAAGATTTCTAAATGTGTGTGAAGTTTCTCTGCCCAACTAGTAAGTAACTCTTGACAGTGGTAGAAATCCATGTCACTGCGGAAATACAGCCACCACCCCTAAGCCAGCTGTCCATTGTTTGCTAACAACAAGCCCCCTTGTGGAATTGTTCTGGGTTTTCAAGTGACTTCCAGTCTTGATTTAATCAAAGAAGGAATTCTACCTGGACTATGGAATTGAATAAAGAGACCAAACACTAAGTAGCTTTTAAAACCCTGTGAATTTAGAGCTCTTCCTTTAGCTCATAAAGTAGGCTACCAGACTCCTTCCAGAGGCCAGTGGTAGGAGGTGTAGGATGGCATACGAGCAATTACACTGCATCTGTAAAAGCCATTTAAAAGTGAAGTCTAGCTCTCCAATGGTAGCAAGTTAATTAGATATTAACCATGGCAGCAGACATTTTTCCTGTACCTACTCACTGCCAACTACTGTTCTAATCGCACTTAGAGGGGTGAAAATTTAATCCTCACAATAATCCTATGAAACAGATCCCATTTTAGAGATGAGGAAATCAAGTCACAGAGAAGTTAAGGAACTTACCCGGAGTCATACAACTAATAGGTGAAAGAACCAGGATTTGGACACAGGGAAGCAACTGAGAGATCTTAACCTCTAGGCTATGGGAAGTAGTCAGCTCACTACCCTGTCAACCAGCATAAAATAAAGCAGCCCCTTAGACAGCAAGCACTGTATTCACAAACCTCTTTGGAACCACCCATCTGGGTCTCTATGACAACCCCGTGGGGCACAAATTTTTAGCCTTATCTCATGCACAGAGAAATGGCAGTACTGAAATATAATGACTTTCCTAAGAGCTAATCCTAGCTGTGGGCTCCATTTCACCAGACTGCTTTTCGAGCTCTTTGAAAAGCACAAAATATACGAGTCATCAGGGAGCTCATGGTAAATATGTGTTTCAGCTTGGTCCCATGGTCAGGGTTCCTGGAATAACTCATCAAACAGAAAAGCCCAGAGAGTCCTTGGGGGCGTCAGGATGCGAAGCACCCTCTGTGGTCTATGAGCTGCGATAGTGAACCAAGGGCTGGTGTGGGCCCAGGATCACCGCTCTCAGAACGGCCTCAGACAGGGTCAGGAGGACATCTGATGCCTGAGGGCTGGGAAACAAGGCTTACGCTGAAGGCCTGGACCTGACTGCACTTCATATGTTCTTAACCCACTTTCTGGAGACAGAACTAGGTAATAAGATATAGGGGCTGTGAGCCCAGAGGACAAGGCTAGGGCCCTAAGAGACAGAGGTTGAGGAGTGAATCCCCGTCTCTGCCTACCTCCCCAAACCTCTCTACCTGCCACCTCGCTGGGCACTCCTTACATCTGTGTGAGGAGGTACAATTTCATAATATTTTCCTTCCATTCAGGCAGGTAGGCCAGGCTAGTAGCCACTTCCTTCTGGATCGGCCAGGCCCAGGCCTCGAAGAAGGGAGCCAGATTCTTCTGCACTTGGTGGGAGAACATCTTCACCCACAGATTCATTTTGTCAACATTATCCGTGGGTAAGTTGGTCTGGTTCCGATACTCAGCAAAGAGACGGATGAATGGCTCCCAACCAAAGGCTTCCTGTAGCTGGAAAGGGGAAGAAGAGACAGGATGAGACATCTGGTCTACCACAAGAAGCCCCAAAAATACGCTAATAAATGAATTTAACGCACTGAACCCCTTAAACACACTAGCTTCATAGCTATGACGGGCCCTCTCTCCTGTTTACCTGCTGGCCTTGTTCCCTACTCCCTTATGTTCTAACCTTAAGAAGGGCATCTCAGTGAGCACACCGCTCAGCACAAAGCAGACACTCAGTAAATGATGGCTGGGGTATACTGCAGGGATTATCACCATATTCACCACCGATGTCATCATTCATATATCTCACTAGATCATGAAAATGGTGATATTACACGAGGATATAAAATGGGCTAAAGTGAAAAAATTCTTGTATCTTTCATAGCCGCAATGTTAAACCCCAATATTTGGGTAACTCCTTGTCCTGTTCTGACATAATCCTCATTAATCATAGGTTTCTGTCAACTTGCAAGGCCACTGAAATGGCCTTTGGGGGAAAAAGTGAGTCTGGTAGAAGCAGAAGACTATATATTATAGTCTAGGTACCTAGAGTTAAGAGTAAAGCATAATTTTAGGCCATTGGAAATAGGCTGCGTTAGGCTGGGTTTTAGAGCTTTAGCATTAAGAAGGGATGTGAGCAGTTCCCTAGAACAACCTCAACTTCATGTCACAGATGAGGAACTTCTGCCCCTGGGGTAAAGTGGCCCCAATGACAAGTTTCAATAGAGTCTTCCGGCCGTGTCACTGTCATTCCCATGGCCATGGGAATGAACACAGGAACTCTAGGTGATGACGCTCCACACAGTGAGCTGGGAACTAATGCAGGGACTCGGGGCAGAACTGGGGTGTCTGAACAATAATGTGAGGCAAAGGCAACCTCCATGTCCAGGCTTGCGGGGCCGGGGGGCGGGGGTCCTGGATTGCTTGCGAGGTGGAAACGGAGGCCCAGCCAAGTCATAATGAGATGGTACACTCATCTGCGGAAAAGAAATAGGTCCTATCTCATATTGTGTGTGTGTCGGGGGGTGGGATTAGGAGGGCTGTTTGGTTTCAGGTAACCAGTAAATAGCATAGGTTGGCTTCAGTCTCAGTTAAGGTGGGTCTAACACCATTGAGAGCAACTGTATGTATAGCACTACCTGTGCCTCTGCCAGGTTTTCACCTTTCTCAGTGCTTTCTACCTATTCTCATGCATCTCTTCAAGATCATGGGGGTGGGGGTGGGGTGGGGCTGAGGCAGTGAAGTCTGCTTGTGGTCATGCAAAATGATGTACTGCGAAGCATCATCTAATGGGGCCATTGCAGCTGGGCTTTGCCAGGGCTCCTGAGGCCTAGTGTGGGGGACAGGTGCAGTGGGAGGCCTCCTGGAAGAATACCGTCTAACAATGAGGCTCTGGCATCCCCACAGCAGGGGGCTCCCATCACCCTCCATTTTTGCCTGTCTACCTGTAAATATGTTTCCAGTGCTGTCCACGCATTCCAGTTCTTCACATTGGGTCCCTTGCTCAGGTAGATTCTGACTCTCTTCTCCCGAACTGGGGGCCACAAGGCGATGTTGGCACGGCTTCGAGGAATGCCCAAGACCGTTTCGTGCACGTAAACGCACCACAGGTTGCAGGTGGCCTCGGTGGTGTGCGGGGGGAATTCCCACTCCTGCCGCTGCTGGTTGCGGCCGAGCTCATGGACAGGGCCCCACAGCCCCTTGGTTCGGATGAGCTTCTCATTGATGAGCTCCTGCACCGACTCCAGGTGGCACATGATGGGGTACCCTGCATGCATCCAGCCTGTGAAACAGAGGCGGCAGGGAGGAAGGGTTAGAGGGCTCCACACACACCTTACAGAATCCTTCTCTGTTTTCTGTCTCCCAAAATCCCCAGCAGCCCCAACGACTTCCAGAGTTTTATACTGCTCGGAAGGCCAATCAAACCCAGACACTCCTGCGCTTTCTCCTTATCTGCTCATCCTGTCCTCACTCCGACCTGAGAGCATGTGCTTGCTCACGGGAGGGGGTGCAGCATCACAAATCACTCTTTGTGTTACTATTCAATTTGTCTGTTTTTATGAGCGTGCCCTGTCCATGTGGACCTGTGTCATTATGCTCTTTCCTCAAAAATTAAGAATTCACTGAGGGTGTTCCCCTTCTCATTATGTAGATGTGGAGTTGACCACATTGATGTTACTTTACAGCGATCATCTATGTAAGTCAAGTAAACGAGGGTCCAGAATGAGGTCCATGGTTCCTTTATTTCCATAGACCGCCCCTCCCAATTATTTAGGCCTCTTGGCCCACTGGTAAAATGCCATCAAAATCTCTTCCTCAACGTGTATTGAGGGTACACATAAAACGTTACTTAACCATTCCATATTGTTGGACATTTAGGTAATTTCTAATTTTTTTGTGAAAGGAAGTCGCCGAGTCTACGTCTTTTTAAATACGCTTTTTCCTTTCCACTTAACTAGCGAGGATTACGCCTTCTATGTCTTGCTAGGGAAGCATTTTCACCCTGCTGGCCGCGCACCACATGGCTGTTGAAGGAAAGGCAGCCCCACAGCGGCAGGTGCACAGGGCGCCGCGGGGACCAGGGCACCCACCTACTGAGATCTGCACATCAGCGACAATCCTCTGTGGCAGCCGCAAGGGGAAGGGCTCAGCCCCCAGCCGGGCCACAGCCTGCATCACCTCATCCCAGAGGCGGAGCAGGGGCTCGGGGTTGTCCAGGGTGCGAAGGTTGGCGGTTGGCACTGTCAGGATGATGTTGTCCGTGGCCAGTTCTCCCCAGGGGCCTGGATTCTCCTGCACACGCCTCTTCCACTCCTCGTGGGATGTCTCCCCTGGGAAGAGAGGCCATGGGCTTGAAACACCCTTTTCCAGTTCTCTTGGGTTAAAACATATAACCGAAACCCCCAGAGAGAAACACCATAGTCATGAACAACCATGTCTCCCTCTCCACCCTTCTTCTGTGATGTCCTCGTGGATGCGGTTTGGTCTATCTCCTTGGCTCCAAAGCTGAATCAAAGGAGGTTTACCTCCCTCACCTTTTCCAATGCGAATCTCTCTCTTCCTGCACCAAACAGCCCCAGTGACCCCTCACCCCCAGCTCTCCTGGCCCCAGGGTTCACCCCACGGCTGCTACTCACCCAGCTTGTAGAACGGAGCATGCACAGCCCCCTTCACAGTGACGGGCACGGAACCCAGCTTGCTGCTCTGAGGCACGATGATGTAGAGGAGGCCGCCCCAGAGGCAGGTGATCGATTTTGTGGGTTTGTCCAGGCAGCACCGGTTGATCACCAGTGGGCCTCGGAACAGCTTGCTGGCCCTGGTCAGGTCGTCAGTGTGGCAGCCAATCTGTACCTGGAGCAGAGAGATCGCCCCATGGAGTCACCTCGGGGCGCACGCCATGAGGTGGGGACAAGAAGGGCACTGGGCTCTGTGGCCCCAGCGTTCCTCCCATCTAGGAACCGTGTGTGCTAAACCTATGAAACGGCACCATTCCTCGGGTGGTATGGACCGAATGCTGTGTAATATCCCCCCAGGGGAATCAAACAGCTCCCCCTGGGTGATGTTGACACATTGGAGTGAGGGGCACCAGGTGTAACCAGAGGCTAATTCTGAGGGTCCCCAAATGTGTCCATAACAGGCAGAATCTCAGGGTTCCTGTCCCACGGTGGGGACTCTGCTGTTGGTCATGGGGTGGAGGGCGGCCAGCCTTTGCTGATACGAGAGGGGGCCCAGTGCGGGGCTGTGTGACCAGCTGCTGTAGTGGCGGGCTGACTCAGTTCCTCTGGTCCCAGGCTCCCCTTTCTGAGCCAATGAAGTGGACCCTGACATTGATGGAGCCCTGGGATTGTTGTCGGGGGTTTATGCTAATTCAGTTCCAGAACAGATGCAGGCACAGGACATATCCTGTCACAGCCGCTCTCACATGAGACAGAGCAGAGCAATGACTTAATTTGTGATTAGGGTGTATGTATGTGCAAGTGACAGAGCTGGAGGGGCAAAGGGCAGCCTTTGGCGTTCCAGGAAGAAGCCAGAGTCAGGAAGTCCTGTGCTACAGTGGCGGTGCATATGGGATGGAGAGTGAACTAAGGTTTCCTGAACACCGCTGTGTGCGGGGCGCCTGCCATGTGGCCCCTCTCCTGTTCCCTGCTCCACCCCTTCTGCAAGATGCACAGAACTTTAGCGTGAGAAGGTGGTTATTCTTTTTCAGTCCTGGGCTCAGAAATGTACCAGATCTATACATTTCAGTCGATCAAAGAGCTGTTTTGCACCTTAGCTGCCTCATCCCTAAAATGGGGGTAAAAATACATGCCCCATATTGCCAGTAGTTTTTATGAGGACTGAGGAAGATGCCGCCAGTGAAAGCAAGAGCATCTGGGTTCCATGTTTCCTGGAGAGATGGTTAGGGCCTTACCTTCAGGTCTGCGGAGGCAGCATCTTCAGGCAGTGAGACCTCTATAATTTGCCTTCCAGGAATGTAGAGCCCGGTGCTCATCCAGCAATACCGGGTGCCTGTCAAAAGCACAGGAGGACAGAATTTACCCCTCCTCCATTTCCATGAGTTCCTCTCCATCAGCATCTCCACGGCCCTTCATGAGCTCTGCACGTCCTTCCCCCTCCACACCACCCTGACTCAACTCTTGCAAATGTCCCAACCCCTGTCTCCTTAAAAGTGCACAGCAAAGGGTGCAGGTGGCCCTCTGGAGGTGATCAGGTCTCTGAAATGAGCTAAATCATCATGCTGCAGGCCCACAAACCCCCCAACACTGAGTGCCCCACCCCACACACACTCCATACCTGGATTGTTGCAGTTGACCTCAACAGTGATAGGGGATTCCGAGGGGCGCAGATAGGGGCTGCTGTACATGTCTTCAATTTCCGGGACTAACAGAGAGAGGTCACTTCCAGAGTGGGCCAGACCCGTGGCCAGGGACAGCATGGCACCCCTGCAGCAGTCATTGATGACTGGGTTCTCTCGGGTGGCCACGGGGAGCCGGTACCGGCTCAGCAGCTTCCGCAGGAGCCGATGCACAGACATGTAGGCAGGGACTTCTTCCGCGGGGATCTGTAGGAAAGCGGCGCCGTCCGGCCCCAGCTTCGCCAGCCACCCCTTTTCTACATTGCCTCTCTTCCTGCCCATTATAACCTGGAACTCGGCCAGGGTGGAGCGGAAGTGGTAGGTCCTTATCCCGGCTTTCGGAGTACGGAAGGGCCCGGGGTTGAGGCTTTGGCTTGTGATGCTGATGCCAAAGGGGTTGAGGAGGAGATTTCCTGGGAACCGAGCCAGAGGGGACACTCCGGGGTTCTTGAAGGCCCACCACCAGGCTTGGGCTGCAACAAACAGTCCCCCACCCTCGGCCACGAACTCCTGCAGCTCCTTGACTCCCACGTCACTCATGGGCTCAAAGCAGTAGACACTGGCATCGCTGGTCAGATGGGGCTCAATGCTGGTGTCTATGCCCCCCACCGCGAGCAGGCTGCTCATTGTCCTCAGTTCTGTCTGCACCACGATCTTGCCTCGGCGCCCCGCGTCCAGCCAACGCACGGCATTGAGCAGAAAGGGGCCCAGTTTGCTCACGGTGAATAAGGCCTTGTGGCCCATCACGACCACTCGGCCGCGGCCATAGCGGGCAGCCGCTATAACACAGCCGTGGTAGGTGTCTAACCCCAGGGGAAAGGCTAGAGCCCCGTGCACTAGCAGCTGGGATGGAAAACAATCCGAGTTGCTGATGTCCAGCTCTGAAATCCCGTGCAGAAGCTCCTCTCTGTCCTCGGAGAGATCGTCTTCACAACTGCAAAGGAGACACGTGTTCTTTTAAAGGAGAGAGACTGCATACAGCTCTCAGAACAGCATCTAGGATGTGGCAAGCATCAGCTCTACAACTAGTACCATTTTTAGCTCTTCCAGGAGAGCTGGGAGAACCAAGTGGGCAGGTCTGACCTCCCTGGGTATGGAGACTCCTTTGCCAGAAGACAGAGGGACTCAGCAATAATTCTGCTCTGCTCATTCTCTGCCTACAAAATCTCCAAAGGAAATCTCGAAGAAAGCCTTGCTGGTTTTAGCCAACACTGTTTGTTAAATATTCTGGATTTAAGTGTTAAGAGTGCCATTTAAGCATTATATAAAAAACTGAATGGGAAATCCTATTTTCATCTTTATAAGGAGTCTTGTTTACAAATTTCATGCAATTAATTTTTTGAAAATAAACTCCATGGACAGCTGAGTTCATGGAGCTATTGGAATCACCATTAGGTCAAAGTGTGGGCCCGGGGGCTGACTGGCCTCCACTCCAGTGAGACCCTCCCGTTACCGGAACCCAAGGGTGACGACTATCTACACCCAGTTCTCCACCCATTCATTGCCCGACCACAGGAGTGACGCCTATCCATACCCTATGGTTTTTTGGAGCGCCATCTGTCCCTGTCTGAAGTGGTGATGAGGGCCTGGATACCTAGTGGGGTTATTAGGGGGTGAGGGGCCGAGTGACCTCTATCAGCTGAAGATCCCAGAGCTGGTTATGCCACTCATGTCAGGTAAGGCGGTGGCACCTGTATGCTCAGAAGGCAGCTGCAAGGAACCCCTGAAAAGCAGTGAATTTTAGCTTCTGCATTTACATCTAGATCTATTTTTAATTATTTTGTATGGAGTGGGATAAATGTCAAGATTCACTTTTTTTTCCTCATAATGGTTTCAGAACCATCTGTTGAGAAGATTCTCTTTTCCTCATTGAATTACCTTGGCACCTTTGCCAACAAAATAACTGAGCATAAAACTGTGGGTCTGTTATTGAACTATCTAGTCTGTTTCAGTCATCTGTTTGTCTATCCTTATGCCAAAACCACAGTGGTTTGATTACTTTAGCTTTCTAGTTAAGTTTTGATATAAGTTTATGTTAGTTCCTTTTATTTGCATATAATTTCAGAATCAGTTTTAACTCTGCTTGGGATTGCATTGAATCTATGTGCCATTTAGGGAAAAAAGGCACATCTTAAAAATACTGAGTGTTCTGATCCATCAATGTGGTGTATTTTTCTATTTCTTTAGGTTTTATTAAATTTCTCTCAATGTTTTGTAGTTTTCAACATACAGGTCTAGTAACATATTTTGTTAAGTTTATCCATTAGCATTTCACGATTTGGGCTTCTGTTTTAATTGATATTGTATTTTTAATTTCAATTACTATTTTTTGGCTGTCAGTACATAAAAATATAATTGGTTTCCGTATGTAGATCTTGTATCCTGCAACCTCACTCAATTATTATAGTAGCTTTTCTGTAGAGTGAAACGTTTTTGTTTACATAGAGAATCATGCTTTCTGCAAATAAACATAGGTTTACTTCTTAATTTTTAATCTATATGCCTTCTTTTAATTGCTTTAGTACAATGTTGACTAAAAGCAGTGAGAACAGATATTCTTGTCCTCAATCTTAGGGTGTTTCAGCATTAAGTACATTCTTAGCTATAAGTTTTTCAAAGAGGATTCTTACCACATTGAAGAAGTTCCTTTTTATTTCTACTTCACTGAAATTTTATCATGATTGGGTATTCAAGTTTGTCGAGTGCTGTGCGTGTGCGCACGCATGTGTTGAATTACATGGTTTTCTCATTCATCCTGTTAATATGGTGAATTAATTTGATGTTTGAATGTTAAGCCAGGTGTGCATTCCTAAGATAAGCCCTACTTAGTCATGATGTATTATTATTTTCATATATTGCAATATTCTATTTACAATATTTAAAAAATAATTTTTGCATCTTATATGTTCATGATTGATATTTTTCTGTAGTTTTCTGATCTTGCAATGTCTTTCTCTGGTTTTGGTTCCACAGAAATACTGGTTTAATAAATCAAGTTGCAAAATTTTTCCTCCTCTCCTATTTTCTGGAAGAGTTCATGTAGGGTTAGTATAATTTGTTCCATGAGTGTTTGATACAGTTCATCAGTAATGCTATATGGATCTGAAGTATTTTGTTTTTAAATCGGGGTTTTTTTTTTTTTACATTGTTACTGATTTTAAATAAAAGTTTAATTTTAAAATAAAAATATAAAAGTTGGCAATATAGTACAGAGAGTTCCTATACCCAGTTTCCCTAATGTTAAGAAGTTAACATTGGTAAAATACTATTACCTAAACTCTAGACTGTATACAAAATTTACTAGTTTTCCCATTAGTGTTTTCTTTGGACCCAATCCAGGCTAACACGTTGCATTTAGTATTGAAATGTTTTTAATTAAAGTTCAACTGATTCAGTGTGTCAATTTTAGTAGTTTTTGTCTGGCAAGAAAATTTCCCATTTCATCTAAGTTGTCCAATTCATTCGCATAAAGTTATTATAATATTCTCTTATTAACCTTTTAATGTATGTAGGGTCTGTATTAATGTCCTTTTTTTTGCATTCCTAGAATTTATAATTTGTGTTCTGTAATTGTCATAACCAGTATACCTAGAGATTTATCACTTTTTTTGTTTTTTTCTACCTACCAGCTTTTGGTTTTATTGTTTTCTCTATTATTTTCGTATTTCCTATTTCCTATATTTCTGCTCTCATCTTTATTATCTTCTTATTCTTTCCACATATTTTGGGTTTAATTTGATTTTCCTTTTTTTTTTTAAAGCTTTTAGATGTAGAAAAAATTGAGTGTAAATTTTTCACTGAGTTTAAATTTTTCACTTTTCTAATGAAGCATTTAAATTTCTCTCTCAGCACAGCTTTAACGGCATCCCACCAATTTTGACAGGCAGTGGTTTCCTTTTTATTCAGTTAAAATATTTTCTAATTTCCTTGGTAGTTTCTTCTTTGACTTACAGAGTATTTGTGTTTTTTAACTTACAAATATTTAGGTATTCCAGATAAGTTTATGTTATTGCTTTCTAATTTAATACCACTGTGATCAGCAAATACTATGTATGATTTAAATTCCTTTACCTTGTTGAGACATTTTATGGAGGAACATATGGTCTTGCTTCATGAATATTTCATGTGCACCTAAAACGAATGTGCATTCTGCTGTTGTAACCTTGTTTGTAGTCTACACATTCACAAATTAAAATTGAATGAACAAATAGGAGGGAGAACTCACTTTAAACAAAAATAGGACCAAATGAAGAAATGATCCAAGTAATTTTTGAACAGAGTACTTAAACTGTCTATGTGCTGTGCAGTATATTCTGAGGACAACAGAGAACGACAAAAAAATCTTAAACTTAGTTTGCTATTGGTACTAGTATGGGAGTAGTAATCAGGAAGTTATTTTGTGTGCTCGGTGGGACTGAGCAAATGAGTACATACTGAAATTGTTGGAAACCAGTTTTCCCACTATGGGAGGAGGAAGATACAAATAAGGAGTGGGTGGACGAGGAGAAGAATTCTGTGGTTGGGGATTAAAATTGGGGTATTGGTATGGATTTAGGATTAAAACATATATTTTCTTGGCTCTGTCTTCTTAGGAGTCTGGAAATGACAACAGTCCAACAGCAGTGAGCACACCTAGATCAGCCTGCTGCCTAAACACTGCTTGCCCCTGAGAGGACCAGGGTTCCTCAAAGAAATGGCCGAATCCAGGTTTGGGACAGTTGAAGAAAAAGGTAAACCCACAACGTCTTGTGTCAGAAACTAAGTACTAAAAAACTCATGGGGCGTGTCAAGGACTCAGGAGTCAGCTCAGTGGGGGCATTTACTTGCCACATTTGGGGCAATTAGACCTTCAAAAAATACCGACTATAAATGAATTATAACACATTTGCTTTTTTCCAAAAGAGTCCATGAGTACAGCGCGATATTGAAGCAAATAAAATTTAAAACAACCACAGAACCAACAACAAACATTGTGATGCGGGGGAGAGGGAGAATTTCCCTGGAAAGAAGATTGTAACCAATTCTGGGAGAAACCTATGAGCAGACCTGCGCTCTGCTGGGGTAGCTGGGGAGTCCAGCCTTCTGGTGTCTCTGTGCCCCACGGGGAGAAGAGTTGTCTTGCGCCACACCTTAAATACACTGCAACATGTAATCATTTAAAAAAAAAATCTCATAATGTTTTAAGTAAATTTCTGATTTCACGTTGGGCCGCATTCACAGCCATCCCGAGCCGCGTGCGGCCTGCGGGACGCAGGTTGGACCCCCTGTTAGAGTGGCAGGTTGTATGGGTTCCAGAAGAGACACATGTGTATTAGATAGGGAAGGAGGGGGCAGTGTCTGGAGGAGGTGGTACTGGCCATGAATCTTTAAGAAAGGAGAGCAGGAGCTACCCAAGTGATAGAAGTAACCACTTTGGTAAACGCCAAGTAAGGCACAGATCATCAATGGGTGATTTAAAACCCACTGGGTCAAAGGTTGTTGAACATATTAATAATCTATTGTCATACCATAGATTAAATTAGTTAAATGGGGGAAAGGCACTATTACAAACTGGGCTGGATGCCTCAAAAATGCTATTGTCTTGAAAGATAAGAAAAGCTGGGTAATATTTTGGTTAGATCCTATATTTTTTAAAAAGACAAGGAACATGTATAAAGGACACATGGACAAGGACAATGGTGTCGGGAGGATTGAAAGTGGGCGGGGGGATGGGTAGAGCAGGGGAGAGCAAATGGGGGGAAATGAGGACAACTGTAATTGAACAGCAATTTAAAAAATTTTTAAAAAGACATTGTGAGTGACAATTGGAGACATTTAAATATGGGCATTAGATAACAGTATTGTATCAATGCAACATTTTTTGAGAGAAATAATTGTGTTGTGGTTATATTGGAGAATGTGTCTGTCTTTAGGAGACATAGGCTGAAGTATTCA